AAAAAAAGTTTCATTTCTTCTATGTAAATAGTAATAAATGAGAAGGTGAGGGAGACTAGAACTGAAACCAGGAAAAGAAAGATAATTTAATTTTACAGAGCATTTCAATATTTTGCTTTTGGCGTTCTTTCTTCATTTGGTATAAAAATATTTCTTTTTAATTCTCTGTGCAAGTAAATAGAAATGTGGACACTGGGAGCCCTCTGTCACTAGTTCAGAAGCAGCCCACCTGATGTTTTTCCCCAGAGCTGTGAAATACTGAAGCCTTAGGAACAGTCAATCTGTCTTCTTGGGAGCTGTTTAGCTAAATTCTCGGGGAACGGGTTGCTGTCCAGCAAACTCCCTTAGCACCATGGCAGAGTTGAAATATCTCTGCATCTCATTTATAGGTCAGGAAAACAGTAAATTCTGTTTAAAAAAAAAAAAAAAAAGTTATAATTGTTCAAATCTGCTGCAAAGAGAAATGACCTTGTATATTTAGTTAAGTCTTAAAAATGAAGTAGTCATCATACAGACAAAAATGAGAGGAGGCAAATTCTGAGTTGCATTAATCTTCCTTTACACCTGTCTGTATAAATAGACATTAATGGGGTCACAAACGGCTTCCAGAGAAGCAGCCTTTAGAGTGTATGACTGCTCTGGCTGACAAAATATCTTGTTTAGGACCCCTAGGTGAGTTCACAATGTAAAGGATGTTTCAGGGTGAGAGTGGGTAACAGGATGAAGAGAATGAGTTGGGTCTAGGGAATTCAGTTACTTTCTAGAGCCTGAGTTTCTGCAGGAAAATACAGAAATACTACAAAGTGGTTTTTTTCCCTCACTGCTTGGAGCAGGGGGAAGGACTTGGCCTTCATTTCCAGCAAACATACTGGTTTTGGGGGAGATAAGGGAAGAAGCCTTCAAGTCCTTTAGGGTATTCAGGAAGAACACCCAGCTGATACCAAGCCTGCCTACCTATGTGCCTCATTGAAAGTCTAATTTGGATAGAGGCAGGAAGATTACAATTTCTATAAAAGCTGTGGGCTTTTTTCTTCACTTTAGCTCATCTATTTTAGATGTTTCTCAGTGGCATGAGATTCAATTAATTAATGTCATGCAATGAGGCAAGTTAAACCTTGTTTGCCAGGCTGGGCTCTGAGCTTTACTTCCACAGCTTCTTGTTCTTAAGGGCTTTAAGGGACACTTAGAGCTTTCTGCACAGGTGTTGTTGATGCCCATTATTTGCAATAGGTGCTTGAGAAACAAACTTCCTTTCCTATTAGCCTGTGTTCTTTCTAGTGGGTCCTCTTATTCCCTGCTATTAAGCAGACACCCACCTTGTATTTCTAACAGAACTTACCATTTTGGTTTAAAAGCCTTGGAGTTTATTTCTATTGGTGATGTCGCTGCAGCGCTGGAGAAGAACGTGTGCTACAGGACCCACATGCCCCAGAAAAGTATACTCAACATCAACATTTACCTTTACTGTGTAAATATGGCTCTTCATTGTTGTCAGCTTTGGTTAATAAAATACTAGCTTTAAACAAAGGTTTGGACTACAGAGTAAATCACTCTGCATACTAAACATTTTGAGGTAGGTCAAAGTAGGCATGAAATAAAGTATGAATATAAGCTTCAACCCTTTTCCTGGATGTCTTCTCACTGAACTCAGTAAGACTGTGTGAATGCAAGATGTTTTGCAAGGCACTGAGGGAATGTACTCAGTTAATGACGAAGTAGGGCTGCTCATCACTTCTGGTGGGCATAAATATTCCAGTCTGGAGAGGTTTTGGCTCTTGTGAAGGTCATTTGCTTCTCTCTTGGCAGGGAAAAATAAATACTTTTGGAATCATATTTGTGAGGGAGCAGAGCTGCAGAAGCTGCAGTTTCCATGTCAAGAGTTCCACAAGCACCAGGACAGTGCTTTGAGCCTAAGAATTAGGATTTTGCAGCCTCCTACTTCCCTACTTTGTAGTCTCAGTGGAAGGTTGCTGAGACATGCAGGTGGTGAAATTACGGCAAATATTAGCAGCAGCTTGCAGTATACAATTGCATTTGAGGTTAAAAAAAAAAAAAAGACAAAAATACTAGTAACTGTGAATATCTCTTTGTGGCCTGATATGCACCTTACAGGACCTACTGCTCTGTGATTCTGGCAGCATCCTTGACTTCCACAAGTTTTTGTGCCAGTCTTAGCCAAGAGTAGCTAACTAGTGGCATTAGCAGCATCTGCTATCAGTACCCAATATTGCATGTGTTAACCACATAACAGAATCACACGTGGTAAGGAACAGATGAGCTGAGCTGCAAGATTTGCTGGGGATTGAATTAATGTTTATATAATTTTATTTTCATTATTCAACCAGCTGTGCGGCCACATCCATTTAGTGAATAAGTGAGACAATTTTTAACCTTTGGTCACTAAATATATATTTTATCCCAGCTTTTACCACTCTAACCAAGTTAGTGGTTGCTTGTTCTTCTCACCATTCTTATAATTAGTATCAGACTCAAATATGAGTCAAGCAGAATTTGAATTTAGTTTCCCTTTTTGATATTCTGAAAGTTAGTCAAAGTTTGAGAGCGAGAACATGACATACTGTTCCTCGCTCAGCATCTAAGCGTGTGATGACTTTGTCCTGTGGCAAAAGTGTGGAGAATCACTTTTATAGAGGTTGCAAGTATACTTGTGTGTTGTTTCTGTTTTTTGAGTAAGAAAAGTATATACAGGGATTATACTGCAATCTGCAGGAGATACAAAACTTTGCCAGCCTAAGTAATAAACCCAGGAGGAAAATGGCCTGGTCTGAAGGAGGTTAATTCCCAGCCAGCAGTAAAAGTGTCTGGTAAGGTGCTCCCAGCTGGGAGCTAATTAGACACTGCTGAGCCTGCTAGGGTCTCCAGGTGGCAAATACGACACATCTCATGTCACTATCACACTTCAGCAGTCCCGTCACATGTTCCTGCACCTCGGAGGGATCTCTCACATCTGGTTGAGCTGTGGGAAGGCTGAAGGCATTTTCCTTCAGCTGTGTCTTTCAGTCTCAAGTATCAGATGTGGGCCCTGTTACACTCATCACTGCTGCCTCCTCTTTTATTGCTTCCCCTACTGAATTATGATGGCTGAGAGAGAGCTGCTCGGTGGGAGAAGGAGACATTGCTACAGGGGTTTTTTATATGTGGACATGCAAGCTTTCCAAGTAACACTTACGATATGAGCAATATCTGATATATCTAGCTGTGCCTATATTGTTGGATCTTGATCCACAAGCAAGCTCAAACATGATTTACACATTGTCCACATTGCCAGTTCTAAGACACCGGTGGTCACTTCTCCTCTAAGTTCATTGCTGTTTGTGATGTTAAGGCATCCTGGAAGGAGCCTGGGCTGAGGTCTGCTGAATATTCGGAAGAGTGAAATTGCTGTCTGGCAGTGAGAGGGATCACAACACACCTGGCCATGTGCACTGAAAGGTGGAACGTGACAACTGGTGGGGAGTGCTTGGGATAGCCCTGCCCCAGCTTTCTCTCTTGCTATCCATGAAAGCTCAGCCGAAGCCCGCAACTGAGTCTTGCCTGTGTCTGAGAAGCCTGCAAGGCAAGGTAGTTTGGACATATGTTCAAAATGCAGTTTAGGAGAATCTTATGATGTTTATTGCTTTTAAAGAGGAGAGTTAAGAAGTCACAGCTAAATAGAAGCAATATATATATATATAAAAAAAACAAAACAAAACAAAACCAAAACCAACAAATTATTTGTAGGACACATGAACTGCACTGTGTGGTCTAAGTTTCTAAGTTAAGTAGGACGGACATAGCGAAAACTCCAGCTAAGCTGCATTCAGTTTGCAGACACTCCTTACTAAGTCACAACTTGAAGATTCAGCGGACACTGATGATGCTAAGCATATCTGGAAATAAGGCTGTTTTGTCTTAAAAGCCTAACTGCATATTTTGAAGTCTGACCCAACTTTGAAAACGCAACTCTATACAGCAGGTTGTCTTATACATACCAATAACATCTGCAAACGTAACAGGATTGAAATAGCTTTCTTCATTACCTGAACAGCTTTGAGGATAGTCAAATGGTATAAATTCAAAAGTAAAGTCAAGATACTCCTTGTCAAATTTCTAGTACATTCTTCATGCAATTTTTTAATTATTGATTTGCCAGCTCTAGCTATTTTGGTGGTCCAGCTTTTCTTAAGAATTGAGAGAAAGAAGCTTTGTACAAACATCAGTGGCCATCATAACCGTTCAGTTATAGCCAGTCAGCTCCTGTGAAAACTGCAGATTAAAGACAATCTGTTCTTGCATAGTTTTTTTTTATTGACTCAATAGGTGGTTGAACAGCTCTGAGCAATACTAAACTGTAATGAATTTGTTTTGCTGAAGAACGGTGAAGGCTCAGGGCTACATCTAAACAGGACATCCATGGAGCCGAAACTTACAGGAATACTATGAACTACCCAGAGACGTGGAGAGGGATTTGTGTGTGTTTCCTTCTTTAGCACTCTGTCTTTATCGCACAAAAGCAGTTATTATTTGAGCTGGTTTGGGAATATGCTGGTGCCAATGGGTTTTCCTTAAGTAATTTTCATGGTTTGGCTTTTGTGAAGTGCAGTTGCTTTTTTTACTAAACCCTTTTGAATCTGATATGCTTTACAACTGTCTTCCTTTTTCTTGCCTTGCACATTCACTGATTCTAAACTGGGGGCTTCCCCTGGTTAGGGTATTAAATTTCACAGGACTTTTACACTAAGAGGAAATAGCACTGCAGTTTTTAATATAAACAATAGTTAAAACATAATTTTCTTTCATTTTCATTTTATTTTATATTTTTTTCCCCATTTTTTGTGTTTGTTACTAGTTGGTTAGGCAAGTATATTTCTGGCCCTACAAAAATGAGTTGAAAAAGCAAAAAGCTTCTCCTTTTGGAAACAGAGAATAGGCTGCCTTTCCTGCAAAGGATGGGGCAACAGCAGAGGAAGCCTGGCACCTTGCCCCCATAGTTTCGAGACATGGCGGCCTCACCAGCGGGGGATGTTGGGGGCAACAGCTCTGCTCCCATCATCGGCAGACAGAGCAGTGGGAAAAGAGGCTCCCACAACTCAGCGGTGTCCCCTACATTTCAGGTGAGAAGGAGAAAATGCTCTCCCTAAAGAGACCCCATTGGTTCAAAAGGCCATTTGGACACATTTTCAAGAACTTCTTCACAGTTAAAATTAAAATGAACAGGATAAGATTTTGTCTTGTTACACGATTCCTAGCAGCCTTATAACAGGCCTCTTGAAAAAGTCCATGAAAAAGTCCTAGACAGTCTATGAGTTAATTAAACTTTGCTCTAGATCCTAACTTAACAGAGAAATAAGCTGCTAGATTTTTTCTAATTAAACGTAATTGTCACATTTTACTTATGCAAACCACATAATCATATGAAAGCAGCTGAGACTGTCTTTCCTTAACTCAAAATATTAAAATTTCAAGTATAGTAATGCTTTAACTTAGTAAGACTGAATCCCAATCCAGACATAGATTTATGCTAATAATTAAGACATTCCAGGCATTTAACATTATTATGAGTCTGATACAGCAAAAGCTTTAATATTTTAAGAATGTTTAGAAGACAAGTGACTATGATATTCTTCCATAAATATTTTAACATTACATCATATTTTTTTCTGAACATTGAAACATCTCACAGAAAAGAAAATATTTTGCTGGGTTTTTTTATATTGTGTATGTACACTATGCTAGGTTTACCCACACAATTCAACTAATTTAACACTTCCATTGTTTCATAGCTATGGCCATAAGAAAGTCTAACTAGCAGTTTTTTTCTGTTGGGTTTTGTTCCAATTAATTCTTCTCTACTTTAGTGCAAAGAAAGAGAAAGGTGCCTCCAAAAAGTAGTCATTACAAATAGATTATGGGGCAGTACTGTAAAAATTCTTCATAATCAGGTTGCATTCAGTGCTAATCAAGAAGAGATTGTGTGGAACGGGATTTTTTTAATTCCCTATATCCGGTGGACTTCATTCCTTTCTGACTTTGGTGTAAATAGTAAGTTGTTGGGTTTTTTTCCATTGGAATAAACAGAATCATAGGTGCAAATGAACACAGATAAATCAGCTGCCTGTAAAACTGGTATTTCAAAGTAAAGAAGAAACCAAATATGTTTAATGGATCGTTGGAAGACTTCAGAGGTGTCCATTAGGCAGCTTCTGCTAATCATCATCATTTTTAAAACTCTGAGAAATTCAACAGCAACTGCATATTAATGTCTTTACTGGGCTGCTCTATTTTCACACTGGTGATCTTGGGCTGGAAAAGGAATTGGAGGAAGAACAGTAAAGCATCAAGAAGCTTTGGTCCACAATGAACGCTTGAAGGTTTTTTTCTTTGAAACTGTGGCCTCAGTGCATAAGTGCATATACCACTTTTTAGCAGCATAATCCAATTCAGCTCCCATTAGAGCTCACAGTAACAAATCCAATGCCCATGACTTGAACTCTGCTGTCAGTGGGTAGTGCCTGCAGGGAACAGAGCACGAGGACAGCGTGTTCTCCGCCACCTGTGTTGCTAAGCAGATGGGTTGCTTTATTTCCTACCAGTTGGCACAAAGAATACTTGCAGCTCAGGGTAAGGCAGCATCACTTTCAATCTCAGCAATGCCTACAATAATCCCCAATTCCAGAGGAGGAAAGTAGGATACACAATCAATAACACCTGAGATAGGTGTTATGGTAACCAACCCTAATCTTGTTAAAATGAACACTGAAATAAAACAAAATATATTAGATGGAAGTACCGTAGCTGGAGATATAGTGAGCTATAGTAATTCAGCTAGCTGGTGAACCATGGTGTTTTTCAGTTCATTTCCACACACAGTAGATAATTACTTCATTTCCAAGCTTTGGTTAGAAAGCCACTGAGGGAATCGATAGGGAGTCTAGTCTCCAGATAAAGTGTGTTCACCTTTAAAATGTATTTTAAGTGTAGCCACTGCAAAGTGCTTCAGTGCACAATAACATTTTCACTGGGTGTCAAAATCAAGTAACAGAAAAGCAGAATAGGCATTGTGAAGGACAAAGGTAACATTATATTACTTACCTACTTTGGCATGTGTCCATTATTTCATTTGTAGCTTTAAGGGGAGTAGAAATATCTCTTTTGTATATTTAAATGCAGAACATATTAAAATGAAGGCTAAATAGAGAGCTACTCTATGCTTATTAAATTTAACTGTGGTTTTGAAACATTTATTGTGAAATTTGGGAGAACATTATTAAAAGTTCACATTTGTATGTTATGGGTAATTCACAATAATTATGTTCTTAATGGGCAGTTGAAATCTAGCTGGCACACAGAAGACATTTCATAAATATTTAAATTAAAAGTGTATTTAAAATACATTTTGAAAATGACCCAATTTGACATAGCTATATTTGTAAATAAATATTAAGGTTTACCTACATTATCTAGGCTCCAGGAGATACTACGTGTTTGATATATGCTTGGTTGTTTGTTTTTGTTTTGTTTTGTTTTTTTTAAAAAAAAAAAAAAGAGAGAAAAAAGCTGTAGTGTCATTCTAGGAAAACACAGTGCTGCTGACCACAAAAGCAGCTGGGAGAACTTCCTGGTACGGCCTAATTTTATTGTATTTGAGAAAAGGTTTAACAGTATAAAAAACAGTTACAGAACAAGCATTACTGTGTGACTCAGGAAACTTCTTCATAAGAGCTTCTCACTACTTCATGAAAATTCTGGTTCCTGTCATGCCTGGACAGCTGTACTTGATATCAATGGTGGAGAAAAGCACTTTTGTTCTCCTGTTAATTCTTTCTGATCCACATTGCCAGCATTCAAGTAAGTTGCCTAATTAGGGTAAGCTCAGAACTTTCAATACTTGGGATTTGCCAGGTAACTGAGATCTTCCATTTGTGTGTCTGGTCTGACAGTGCCAGTGGCTCCAGGAGCCATGAAGATGTTGATACAGGAATTGGCTTGGTGACTGCCTTAGCCTTTACCCAGAGAGATGGACAGAGTGCTTATTTTGACTCTGATGGTTTTACTCATGAGATAATAATTAACTGCTCAACATCTACTGAACCTGAATTTGAGGTGTCAGAGTCTGTTTCCCTAATGAGTGAAATTTTAAGGAGTTGGTATTTTCTTTTCTATTTTAGTACATTCTAAGTCAGGATAGTTCTGTAATAATATGTAGAAATGTTCAATTCTAAAACCAAAACTGATTTACTGAACTATCCATTTTCTCAGCTCTGATTAAGGGAACACATCCAATTACATAAGTATATTATTAATGCTCGTCTGTAGTGTAGTAGAATTAAAATTGCAATGCCTCCCAATCACAGTCTGAACCGTGCAGTAATCAAGCATGAATTTAGCAAGTTCATTTTTCCATTATGCTGTTTTCAACACAAAGTTACTATATTAGCATATGGTACCGTAACATTGCAGTTCAAACCAAATGTGTGCTGGGCATAGGAAGCACAAAGGATGGCTTGCATTAAGTCCAAATGGAGGTCACCTTTCAGATGCTGTGGTCCATGCTTAAGACTGCACTTATCTTTAACAATTTTTAAATTCAAAGATAGCAGGAGTGATTGAAAATCACTGAATAGTAACATTCACAGAATCACAGTGTCCTGGTTGTGGCAGGGATGGGGTTAATTTCCCCCAGGAGCCGGCAGGGGGGCAGGTATTCCATCCCACGTGACCCGCGCCGGGTCTATAAGAGGCGCTGGCCCGGGTCAGGAGAGCAGTTGCCACCTGGGGGTGGGCTGCAGCTGTGCAGGTCTGGTTGGTGCGCTTTGCGGTGGTACTGTAATCCCGTCTTTATATCCCTTTATCGGTGTTATTGTTTTGTTTTCATCTTCCCTTTTGCTGTTCTGTTAAATTGCACTATTTTAACCCACGAGTTTTGCCTTTTTCTGTCGATTTTTCCCACAGCTGTGGGAGTTGAGAGAGTGGCTGCGGGGTTCTTTGTTGCTGGCTGAGGCCAAACCATGACACACAGAATCTCCTAGATTGGAAAAGACCTATAAGATCATCTAGTTGAATCATTAACGTAACACTGCCAAGCACACTAAACCATGTCCCTAAGCACTATATCTACACAACCGTTAAATACCTCCAGGGATGGGGACCTCACCACTGCCCTGGGCAATGTGTTCCAATGCCTGATGATCCTTTCAGTAAAAAAATTCTTCCTAATATTCAATCTAAACTTCCCCTGGCACAGCCTGAGGCCATTTCTTCTTGTTCTATCACCTGTTACTTGATAGAACAGGTCGACTCCCACCTTTCTGCAACCTCCTTTCAGAGAGCTGCAGAGAGCAATAAGGTCTCCCCTCAGCCTCCTTTTCTTCAGGGTAAAATTTACTGAAATTAACAGCAGAAACAGCATATTTCAAAAGCTTTATTATTTGAAACTTTCAATGTTTCTAATGCCATCTCCCACCTGACTCTTGCCCTAGTAGACCATATCAAAACAGGACTAACATCATACCACTGCATTGAGATCAAAGCTACAGTAAGGTGTCCAGGAGTTTAATTCTTCTGAATTCAAGTTATTCTTTTAAGTATGTGCTGCTCTATTTAAATATCAAATTAGAGAGGAGGGAGGAAAGTGAGTTTTGGTTTTTCCTCTGTGTTTCTGTGTGGCAAGGAAAGGTTTTCATGAAATGATGCACTGTACATAGAAAAAAAGGCACAGAAGGTTTATCTTTGAAAAAAATAAGGTGTCCTTTGCAGTGTGCCAAGGTTTAAAAGCAATTATTTATCATTATATAACTACCTCTTTTTTCCCCTTTTGTTCTTAACTTGATCTGCCTTTTTTTCTTTTTAGTTTTTTTTTCACTCATTTAGATAAAAATAGGCAAAACTGTGGAAATAATCCATCCTCTGTCTGTCATTCATGCTTTTATGATATGCATTGCATTAGTAATTTTACCTACTGTGAAATTTTTGTTTTTAGCTAAGATTAACTAGGCTTCAAAGTACTTTCAAGGCTAATAATACAGACTGTCCTTATATAAGCAATCTGCTCATTTGTGAGGATTCTCTCTTTAGAAGTTTTGGATAATATAGGACTGTTTTTCTCTGACTCACT